TATATATATATATATATATACAGTGCTTATTTTTAAGGTATGTTACCATAATGCCATGATTATAATGACCTGAACTCTTCATTCATTATACAACTGAATGATCATAATCAGCCAACTTTGGGCTGATTAAAAGATTGCCCTTAATGAATGCATTGTTCAGCAGACTCGATTGCTCCTTATAAAAATAAGCACTGTATTTATAAATATATATATATATATGTTGTTATAAGATTCATTTATTATTGGCGACATTTAGGGAGTGCCTTTCCTAAGCAGATGTATCTTAGTTCCCTAATCTCCAAATAAATACATTCCTTTCTTCTCCCTTTAAAAGAGTTGGATGTTTATACGTGCAACGTGATAGATGTTAATTCATTGATTGAAGTGTTTCTGATAAGTGTTCGGAGAACCTGCATTATCTCAGTGACCTGTGCGTTGAGAAAGGTTGGCTTGCTTGCGAACACAATTATATTTATGCCTCTTAATAAGAAATAAGTCAGGAAACCTTTCAGACAAATTGAAATTACGGTTTTCATCTATAAATTAATATTATATGTGGACAAGTCCTTCCTGGAACATCGTAGGGATGATTTACAGACATATGGCTATATAAATTTGTGCTGGGCAGTTTCTAAGCTCTAAAAATATTTATTTAATTGTATAAATAACTCGTGGCACATACCGTCTTCCACCTATTTTCCCCTGAATGATAACTCTGTGAGGTGGTTGAGTTGAGAGAGAGTGATTGGCCCAAAGACACCCAGCTGTCTTTTTGCCTAAGGTGGGAGTAGAAAGAACTCACTGTTTTCTAGTGATTGGGCCAAACTATCTTTTATGCCTCGGTTGGGACTAGAACTCACAGTGTGCTGGTAATTGGCCCAAGGTCACCCAGTCAGCTTTCATGCCTAAGGTGCGACTAGAACTCACTAGAATCATGCCTCAGTGGTTTCTAGCCTGGTGCCTTAACCACTGGGCAAAACTGGCTGTATCGTATGTTGCATTAATTATTGCAAACTATGTCCATTCACTTACCTCTTCCCATTAGTGAGTGATTGTCTGCTCATTAACATTTAAAGCTTTATGTTTGTGTGTGGTGGGGGGATCCACAGAGGAGCATCGGATGTATTCCAGTTTTCTTCCAAAAACGTTGATGATATCGCCGCCATCTGTGTTGGTCACTGTCCAAAAGATGGGAAGAAACTGAAGGCGAAATTGGACATATATTGGCATGTTCAGGAAATTGTCGTTACAGAGATGGAACTTGGCAACAAGTAAGTGCCTCACTTATTTACTCACTCACTTACTCACTGAGTGGTGGCTCAGAGCTTGTCGGTCAGAAAAGGTCGGCAGTTCAGCTGTTCGAATCCCTAGCGCCGCGGAACAGAGTGAGCTCCCGTGGCTTGTCCCAGCTTCTGCCAACCTAGCAGTTCGAAAGCAGGTAAAAAATGCAAGTAGAAAAATAGGAACCACCTTTGGTGGGAAGGTAACGGCATTCCGTGCGCCTTTGGTGTTTAATCATGCCAGCCACATGACCACGGAGACGTCTTTGGACTGCGCTGGCTCTTTGGCTTTGAAACGGAGATGAGCACCGCCCCCTAGAGTCGGGAACGACTAGCACATAAGTGCGAGGGGAACCTTTACCTTTATCTTTACAGTGCCTCATAATGAAAAGAGGCATAAAGGACACAGACAGACAGCCATGGTTTTATAATGTTGGTTTGTGACACTCAAAGATTTGTGGTCCTAACTCCTGTACAGGTAGTCCTCGACTTACACCAAGAGCCGAGGTGGCGCAGTGGTTAAATGCAGCACTGCAGGCTACTGCTAGATCAGCAGTTCAGCGGTTCA